ACCCCCGACCTTCGGTTAAAAGTGAGTCACGAGGCGATGACTACACCTATCACAAAGACTGAATATGTATAATTTATGTTTAATAAGGAAAACAAGAAACATTAAATAGCTTTTAATAATCAAGCTCGTGGGAGATACTTTTAAAGTTTCACCAGTGACGCCACAAAGCGTCTTATATTAGCTTACAAGCTGGAGTGTAGAGAAGAGCAGTACGTTTATACCCTTATCAACAGTAGTTCTCGTGTCATTAAATTAACAAAATAATAATGGATACGTTTTCCATTAACATATGTACATATTTACAAATGATAACACTAATCGTATAATAACATGCCCGAGAAATTATGGGATTGTCAAGTAAGCTAATAGTTGCAAACCCGCAATAATATTTAAATGTACCTCGTCGTTATCTCACCTGCAAAAAGTTGGGTTGTCGAACTCGTTAGCAATAGGGTAAATTGCCTTTCTTACCTCCTTCTGTCACTTATGGTAACGAAATGGATTACCGGAGAGAGAGAACACAAAGTAATCTTGCTTAATTACACTGATTAAAGTGTGAATATAAAATAAAACGTTGACATGACAACCGCTAGACTTTCGCCTGTTTCCTCTGGTCCCACCTAGCGTCTCTAACATACTAATACCAGACAATCGTCGCTTTTCTAAGGCCGACCGACCAAACTACCTGTGACGCTGTAAACTTGGAATGTGAGCGTGGTTGTGATTGGTTAATATTTTCAACAGGTGTTTTCATGTTGGGCCGCCGTCGGCACTCCAAGCAGGTTGTGATGATGTGGGTAAAGATGGAGAAACCGGTTTGGTGTTGCAAAGGGGCTTGATATTTGACCTTTTACGCGTGAGCCCGAACTGTACTGTAGTGTCTTAGTTACGAAGAATATGGAACCTTACAATGAAGAGGTCAGCATACCTAAACTAACACTTGAAATGATCAAAGAATCACAAGAATAAGGTCACACACACCTAAAACCACTGGGTCTTTTACTTTGCTGAATGGTGTAAAATATTAATAATTCAATTTTTATATAAATGTTACAAATACATCTCTACAAGCCGGCAAGTAAAATGGTTTCTCTACATTTCTTCAAAAAATATTGTAATATATATAGAAATATGAGCAAGTGAACGAAGAATGCCAATTGTCAGGAGAATAATTACCCCCCTCCCCCCAAAAAAAAGAACAGTAGAACCTGACAATGAAGTACTATTTTTACACTTTTACTGTGTATGCTGTAAGGCCACGTATTATTACACTTTCAATTTAGAACAATCCAAGAGCTGTAACCTTTACCCCCGCAAAAAAATAGTACTATACCCCCCCCCACACCAATTCAATTTAACAAACGTAGTGGAAATCGCCCTGGGGCTACGACGCTATACTTTGCTATATAAAATTATACTGTGTGCCTTTGGTCCAGTTTTTAACGTTCCATTCTGCAGATCCAAGGTTCGACCGCTATATGCCACTAAATACGCTCCACATTTTCAGTTGTGGGGGCAGTATACAAGTGGCAATCAATTCGGTTAAAGAGTAGCTGCCCAGATAAACGAGTGCTGCTGATTGGTCGCCCTCCTCTTCTAAACCAAGGCGTCTATGCCTGGGTCGTAGCGGTCTCTGACCTGGCCGTTTAGCCCATGTATCACATAGTGTTCGTTCAGGTCTAAAGTACCAAAATATTCTTTGCTTATTTAAATTATAATATTTTAAACTATGAAACGTTAGATAGCAGTAATTATATATTAGCTAATTTTTAATATTTGCTTTGAAACCTGCAATAATTATGAGTAACCCGCTCAAAAGAAAATGAACCGTGACCGTATGGAAGTTCCAACTATTATAGCTGAAACAATAAACATTGATAACTAGTAATTAAAACGACAAATTAATGAGCTCTAAACTCAAGCTTGGGAAATATTTCAGAATTTAAGTTATCTGCGCATCGAAACCTTACTAAATTTGTAACTTATGGTATGAAACAAGAGGGCATCCTCAATAGCCGCGGCTCTTGAAATCATTTTCGGCAGCATTAAAGTAAATTAATCTATGAGGCCTTTGTTTCTTAGCTATATTTTTGTGCGCCAGCAATACCAAGCGTGGGGCGCGCGTATATCCGATTCGATTTTATTAATCACCAGGATCTCTACCAGCCTACTCTCAAATGGAAATTTTTTTATGCAGGATTAGAGTAAATTAATCTGTGAGACCTTGGGCTTTGTCAAATATATCAATCGAAAGGGTTATAATAAATAGATCTTACATCGTTCAAGAGATGACGGAACTATGAGCTAAAAGTTTGCACTGAAAAAAAAAACTCACAACCATTCTATGAGCCACTATGCCGCGGCTAAAAAAGAAACTGACTTATAACCGTTAACACATTTTATACTGAATCTCATTTATCATAACAGCACTGATGTCATTAACTTTCACCTTCTTGAAATCATTATTACTTAAAACAAATCGTCAAAAATTAACTTTCATCTAAACTTTATTATAAATAATAAATATAATATTTATAACTAGATTGAGAACTGCGAGAACATAGGATTTATATATATATATATAATCCTATGTATATTAACGCCATCTGTCGTTCTTTTTTTATATCATAGCTTATTTTCTTTCATAGTCATACCATTAAAATTGGATTTTTATTTTTCATGCTTAATTCATTTCTGGCATTTTATTATATATGGTCCTTTCAAACTATCATGCAACCCTTCGATAACAGAAATCCAGTAACAATTTGATAACAATAGTGATCATTTACATGTCTTTTCCTTTTTTTCCATGAAAGGATTCATTTCCTTAATGATAAAAAACCACGCACGTCATTTATATATATGGATGAGGTCATGTTTAATTATCTATTATATATATCCATTCCTGTGTTGTGTGTGTGTTAAAAAAAGCACTTCCTTTTCCAAATATCAATCTATAAATCACTCTGTTTCAGGCCATTACTAACAAAATAAATGACCTGTAATTGGATAGATTCAGTAAGGGAAATTGTCATACCTATGGCATCATTTATTTTAGCTCCACTCATTTTGAAAGGATAAGATGTCCATTAAGATATGTTAAGTGTTTGTGTAAGAACTTGAGCACAGTCACCTAAAATATCTATGTTAGAAAATAAAGGGTACATTTAGCTGAATTGGACTCATGTTCTTTATTGTGGTGATACATTTATGATATTAGAAAAACACTTCCAAAACATACCTACCTCCTCTCACACTACAGCTATTACTTGACTGCCAGGGTTTCTTCCTTTGCCCAACTAAGCATTGGTCTTAAAATTCGATGACGAGGAACCCACTTTGAGACTAATAATGGTTGGAGACGGCTTGAATGGATAATGAAGAAAAACGTTAATATAAGTTTAACACAACCTGATCATGACAAAAACTTGTCGAAACGTTGTAAATTTGCTGTTGTGTTAAACTTATATTAAAGTTTTTCTTCATTACCCATTCAAGCCGTCTCCAACCATTATAAGCATTGGTCTGATTTTTTTCTCGCTTGCTCCAGTGTTTTATACGCCATTTAATTGCCCTTGGCGATATTTTTTTCGCGACACTCTCGACCTACATCAATGCACCCTATATCCTGGTACTGTATGTAAGCACCTCATTCATATAATGTTATCAATTCTTCTCGACAATGCGTTCACTGACGGGTTTCTCTGTGTTATGAACGTGCGTTCTAAGTAATACCTAGTTGATTTTCGTAAAAAAAAATCGTTTGACATGATAGGAATTCCCATTATTACTATTTCTGGCAACTCAGGTCTCTCCTATCCCACCTCTGCTCAACAATGGGGGAAGGGGAGTCACTCTCGGTTGGGATTGTCAGTGAGCTTATTGTAGTGAGATGTAGACATGTATTCGGTACAGTGGTGTTCCTCTGAAGGGCTCTGAGGTTGCAATTGAGAGTGATCCTGGACATCCCAGAGAGAAATTAGATTCGCTTTTTCCTGCTGGCTTCTCAGGAGGCCACTTTGAGATAAGCTGCTTCAGGCTCTTTTCCTTCTATTGGTCCATCGATTGTGTGATGCTTTGAGTCTTTCCCCAGTTGCTTTTGAGCCTGTACCTTACTTGATGGCTGAAAGGTCTGGGAGCAAATACTTAGTTTCCCCCTCCATCCACTGACATTGTGGTTTACGCTGGGAAGTTTACAGCTCTGTTACATGCAGGAACAGCTATGCCTGATCCGGCACAGTTGTCAGGACGTGATTTAGCCTACCACCACCATATGGAAGTGTATTCCCACTATCAAAGAATACATCTGCTCTTAGAAACTAGGTTCTAGAGCAATCTTTACAGTTAACCTGAATATTCCATGGTGGGACACAATTAACTCTACGGACTTACAACTCTAAAGTGGTTGAAAGAACAACATAATCTTTGTCTAATATAATTTTTTACTTTCATCTATGGCCGATGCAGCACATTTTAAACATTTCTTTAAAAGTGCAACACAAAAACTAATTTAACCTTTTTATTTATCATGTACCTTTGTTTGTTTGTAGTTAGGAACAAAGCTACACTATGGGCTATCTGTGCTTTACCCACCATTGGTATCAAAACCCAGTTTTGAATGTTATAAGCCTTCAGACTTGCTACTGTGCCATTAAGAGGTATTTATCATGTATCTCTAATTAATGTTTGTTTTAGTCATTTGCTCAAAGCTACACAAGGGCAATTAGCACATAGCTATTCCTAAATTTGAACTGATAAGATTAGATAGAGGGAAGGCAGTTGGTGCCCAGCACCCACTGCCATCTCTAGACTGATTGGATGGTGGAATCTGACCTTCACTTTAGATCACCAATGGCTCTAAAGTGCAGGGATTATTCTTGCAACAGGTCGTGAACCATAAGTACTGGAAATGTAAGTCAACATTCCAATTTTAATAAAATATGTTCACTGGTGCCAACCTAAATTTTGTGAAGAACAATTCAGTCAGTAAGTCACTCAGATAAAAATTCAACAATCACTTTATTATCTTAGCTCTGGTTACACTTCAAAGTTTAAGCATCAGTTTATTGCCTGCATTGGAATTAAAGTTAGTCAAAACTATTACTCACCCACAAACAGAGAACATTTAAAACAGCAGAAAAAAAGTTACAGTGTACAAGTTGTCGTGATACCATAACATCGTTCACTCATTAAAATGTTGCACAATAATTCTTTTTTTACTTTGTGCAACTAATCTGTTTTGTTTGTTAGATATTTCTACGTATTTCAAATTGATTAATAAGTCGTAGATGTTCAATGACATTTATCTTAGAAACTCACACATTTGTGTGACTTTTACACAGAACCCTTAGTAAATTTTTATCGGAGATGGTTGTTTCAGAAAATGTCTTCATTACAGAGGTTTGATCTTAAGCTTTCATAAGAAATTAAAGTCTAATTAATAAATCTCAAGACATTCTAGACCCCAGAAGCTTGCATGATATCTTTAATACCTAAAGATTATTTTACTGAAACCTAGTTTTGTTTCAGTTATATTATCTAACTTTCACATCTCATTAAGCTGTTCATGTTAAAGTCTAGTTTAAAATTATTCTATTAAAGTTTTGTTTTGTTTCAGTTATATTACCATCCACGACACCTACATCTGTATTATTTTACCTTCAGACATACATCTTCTAATCCCTACCACTCAATAATATGTTTAGACCCAGATCATATTTCTCATGCTATTTATTTTGTTGTTAGGCATAGATGTTCTATTTTCAAGACCTTCCAACTTAACTACATACACCTCCAGAAAGCTGGACTGGATGCCAAAAGACTGATACGTCGTTACCGTAATTCCATTACCAGTGATATACCACTGTATCATTCATTACACATAATATCAAATTTATAACTTTATTCTTACAAAATGGCAACTTCGTGAAAGAAGAAGAAAATTCCTGAGAAAGTATAAAAGTACATGAGAAAATTAGAATCTTGGGTGATTACCCACTCCAGTCGTGGGTAAAGCTATGCCTAAATGCACAGTACGTAATCATGATAGCTTTATATGTTAGAAATTATACATCAAAGAATGTGCTGTCACACAATCCTCTGGGTAGTTTAATAAAATTATGGGTTTTCATGGTATTAACTAAAGGTAGACACCAAAATTAGTTGATAGGTATGCTTTTATGAAAGAAACATCTTCTGTTTATTACATTATAGGGATTTATGAAAGTAAACATCTGTTTACTACATTACAGGTTTTTATGAAAGCAACATTTTCTGTTTACTACATTATAGGTACTCATGAAAGTAACATCTTCTGTTTACTATAATAAAGGAATTTATCTTTTGTTTACTACATTACTGGATTATACAAAACATCAGGGACCAAACCTTAACCACTTAGCTAATGATTTATTAATTTAAACACCAATTATTTCTCATAGAAAATAATACTTTACTTTTATCAACAACAAGTGGGAATAAAATACAAGATACCAAGAAATAAGAGATAGGGCTTTGTTTTGGCCAATGACTTCTTACCATCAAATAAACCCTAACTAACAACACTTAAAAAGAACAAATTTGCTAATTAAAGATACTCAGCATATTTCATCAGTAAAGGTTGAATGTTTTGTCAGATCCCAGTCATGTGTAGCACTTTACCTAAGTTTCTTCTAAAAGAAACATTTATAAATATTTCAGAATATTTTCACATTGTGTTCATTACAATACCATCTCTCTCTAATCATTTACTTGGTTCAGTGACAGGTGTCTGTCCTTGTGGTAAAACTCCCTCACCACTGTCCAGCTGCTTTAGAAGCCGAAACAAAGCAGCTGCTTCTCTGATGCGACTGAATTCAATGCAAAATGCTTGGACTTCAATAAATAGATCCTACAGAGAGAAGGCATTCAAAAAAGTAAAGTGATTTCAGAAAAGCATCAAAAACTTAGTGATTTTATCCAAATATGATCACAAACAAACATCCAAAACATAATGATGTCAGGCAAATATGATCACAGATGAACATTAAAAAAATAGTGATTTCAGACAAATACAATCAGAGAAAGACATAAAAAAATTAGTGATATCGGACAAATACAATTAGAGATAAACATACAAAAATTAGTGATATCGGACAAATACAATCACAGATAAACATAAAAAAATTAGAATTTTTTATGTTTATGTGTTTGTATTTGTCTGAAATCACTAATTTTTTTATGTTTATCTGTGATTGTATTTGTCTGAAATCATTAATTTTTTATGTTTATGTGTTTGTATTTGTCTGAAATCAAATGATTTCAGACAAATACAATCACAGATGAACATAAAAAATTAGTGATTTCAGACAAATACAATCAGAGATAAACATAAAAAATTAGTGACTTCAGACAAATACAATCACAGATAAACATAAAAAATTAGTGATTTCGGACAAATACAATCACAGATAAACATAAAAAAATTAGTGATTTCATAAAAATACAAACACATAAACATAAAAAGTTAATAATTTCAGACAAATACAATTACTGATAAACATAAAAAAATTTGTGATTTCAGACAAATACAATCACTGATAAACATAAAAAAATTAGTGATTTTAGACAAATTCAAACACATAAACATAAAAAAATTAATGATTTCAGACAAATACAATCACAGATAAACATAAAAAAATTAGTGATTTCATACAAATACAAACACATAAACATAAAAAAATTAATGATTTCAGACAAATACAATCACAGATAAACATAAAAAAATTAGTGATTTCAGACAAATACAAACACATAAACATAAAAAAATTAATGATTTCAGACAAATACAATCACAGATGAACATAAAAAATTAGTGATTTCAGACAAATACAATCAGAGATAAACATAAAAAATTAGTGACTTCAGACAAATACAATCACAGATAAACATAAAAAATTAGTGATTTCGGACAAATACAATCAGAGATAATCAGAAAAATTAGTGATTTCAGACAAATACAATCAGTGATAAACATTAAAAAATTAGTGATTTCAGACAAATACAATCAGATATAAAGCTAACTTCTAAACCATTTAAATATTTAGAAAATTTTAAAATATCTAACTTTTAAACCACTTAGTAAAATCTTGTAAATTTGAAAATTCTGACACTGAAATAGAAATAGAATAACCAACATGTAAAATATCTGTCACAAACGAGGTATTTAAAATTATTTTACATGAGGAGACATTCAGATGAGAAACTAAAGTAATAAATTTGAATTCTAACACAAACCTGAAACTACTTCCCCTGTTTTAACTTTTAAAGTCAGAATAGAGGTCATGAATAAAATTTTCTGAATGGTACACACCTGAACGTTTATTATCTTGTTTCGAATCAGGGACTGAAGGAACACACAGACGAGCCTTACTAGTCTGTTCTGCATGTAACGGTCTTTGATTGTCTCGCAAGTGGAGATACAGTTGGAAATATAAAGGTGAACAAACTCAGTAGGTAGCTCGACAGCCTAGCCATGATTAAAAACAGTAGAAAGACACATGATTCATTTTGAAGGAGAGCTTGTTGTGTCCATACTGTTAACACTGATGTTGTAGAGAATATTAGTATCATGACTCAGTATACAAAGCTAAGCCTTTTAGCAATTAATGCATTTCTTACTCACATGAATATAAATATATATGAATGACTTTTTAAAATGTTTTTAAAAACTTTATTTATTACTGTTAATTTAAAAGAAAGAAATAAAATCACAAATATATAAAAGCATAAAAATATTAGTTTTGTATCATCCAGAATACTCTTCAGTTTCTACAATAAAGCTTTCTTGAACAAGACCTACTTAACAATGTAAAACCTCCCCCGTTTTTCACCCTTAAGGCTATGTACGTTTTAAACTCCCTCTCTATGTTAAAATATGTAACATTTAATGTCGTTTTAGATTGATTAATAAACCAATTTTCATAGAATAATCTTTTATTCTTTTCACAAGAATACCAAAATGGAAATATTTGGAAAAATGGTTCTTATAAAGTATGATAGTTTTTTTGGTTTATTGCAGGGACCTCATCAGCTTTTTTACACCAACTTGCTTGTAGGTCCATGATTTTACTGGTTACAGGTTTGGTCCTTAATAACAAATGAATCACACATGAAATATTTAAACAAAAATACCATTAATGGTGCAATTAATCCAACTGTGTAAAAACCACTCAATATGATACGTTATACGAACCTCCAATAATAATAGAAGGTATAACAAGAAATCAGTAAACTAAGAGTTGATCAGCAGGTTGTATTTTTCACACTACACAAGACAGGCATAAAGAAAAAAAAACAAGTGTGTTTATTTGGTTCCTTAATAGGAAAAGGGCTAAGAAGGTTAAACACAGTTGGTTATACAAGGGTTAAAACTGTGGACGAAATTCTGCTATATGGAACTTTTCTATTATTGTTTTTTTATATCTTAGTAGTACAATGGATAAACACAGTATAGAATACAAGGGTTAAAATTCAATATGAAATTCTAAAATATGGAACTTATAAATTGTTTTTGTATATCTTAGAAGTACAAAGGCTAAACAGAGTAGATAATACCTGGGTTAAAATTCAGTATAAAATTCTGAAATCAGAAAGTCTTGAAACTGTTACTAGTTGTTGTGATACATTAAAAGTCATCAAAGTTACAGATTCAGTAATACCACAGACATAAACAATGAATTTATGTAAAGTCGACACTACGTACAGTTGTCAATCTGTTGACTACTTCCATCGAATGAAGAGACATCTCCATGTTGACAAGCACCGAAAAATACCTGGAAAAAAAAGGTTACACTGTAAGTCACTTGTTGAAGAACAGTTTTAACACATGTTTATATACTTAGAAAATACCAAAGGAGCTGATTTAAGCTGCAAAAATGAAGAAGTAAATATCAAACTTGCTTTAAACTACAAAAATACACCTTGAACATGAAAATAAACTTGAAATATCATAGTTTATGACCATTATTATTATAATTTTAATATAACTACAAGTGGAGCATTTATATTCAAACTTTAATTGTGCATATTCACACTTGACCTTCACCACAAATAACTTATGCACTATTATGAGCTTGACCTTCATCAAGACTAACTAATGTACTATTATGAACTTGACATTCACTGAGACTAACTAATGTACTATTATGAACTTGACATTCACTAAGACTAACTAATGTACTTTTATGAACTTGACGTTCACTAAGACTAACTAATGTACTATTATGAACTTGATGTTCACTAAGACTAACTAATGTACTATACACCTGGAAAAAAGTTAAGCACCCCCGTGTTTTTTTCAAGTGATTCAGATTCGACGTTCTTGTGACTGATTATAAATTACCATTCAATCTAAACGTGTTTATCAAATGAAATTATGCATTATTGAAAACAAGATTATCACCGTAAAATAACAATTTTTTATTTACATATCATGACATCAAAATATGGACAGTTTTCACGCTTAAAATTATCTTTAATAAGTATTGTCAGTGAAAGCTCAAAAACGTTATTGAATTGTCAAATCACATTACAAAATGTAAATCATGACCCACACATTGATAATTAGTCATCGAAAAGTCAATATCGGGTATATCCACCGTTTGCCTGGATGACTGCTCCAACCCTGCGCCGCATACTGCCAGTTAGACATCTGATTTGTTGAAGCGTTATCTGTCGCCATTCTCGGTGCAAGTAGGCTTCTAACTGTTGCAATGTCTGTGGAGGTAGGCTCCAAAGCCTGTATTCGCCTACCCAATTGGTCCCACAGATGCTCTATAGGGTTGAGATCTGGACTTCTTGCTGGC